CTTTTTTTATATTTAATTGTACCTCTTTTATTTTTTTCTTTAAAATTCCCCTTCGTTTTATTTGTTTTTTTTTAGTTAGTTTTTCATTTTGTCTTCTTGGTATTATCAGTAGTTTTGTATTAGATATAAGATTATCACTTTCTTTTGCTCTTGGTAAAAAAAAAGAATATGAAGAAAAAAGCTTTAATGGGCTAACAAAGTTTATCTAACTTGTATACAGGTTGGTGCAACAAGTTGCATGTGAGCATGTTTATCACAACCAAATGATGTCAGGCTTGCAATCACAAGACTCACTGTTATAGTTATGAATGATAATGTATTGTTCAAGAGAGTTCAACTTTCACTTAAATATAGTCTTAATAAATTAAATATTGGCAAGACTGTCAAAAAATTAAAAAAAAAATATATATATATATATAATACTAATTTAATTTGAACTAATATAAAATAAATTAATAAATTTTAAATTACATTAATTTATTTTATAAATAAAATTTAGTAATAATTTAATTTAAATTTTTAAAATATTAAAGATTTTTTAATAATATAAATACCATATCCTGCTATGAATAAGCATCTATCTTTTGCAATTTTCATATTTAAGTTTCTCAAGATTTAGTAATCAGATTTGTATAATTTTGGTACTATTTAAATCAGCTTATTAAAATGATTTGAATGATACTACAATTACACAGATCTGACTAAAATCATGAAAAACTTGGATATGAAAATTGCAAAAGCTTGGTGTTTATTCATGGCAGGATATGGTACTTAGCTATATTTAATAGTTTTTACTTATTTTAAATATTTTTAATCTGTTTTAAAATAATTTGAAATAATTTACAACCCATAAAAATTTTGTAATATATTATTAAATATTTCAAATATCTTACATATTATTATGAAATATTATAAAATATTTCATAATCTTATATTTTGCAAGTTTTCAAAATATATTACATGATATTATAGTATTTTTATAGTTTATAAATTACTAGCATATAATCTGTTGCTTTGCTCTGGAATTAAGAAATAATAATAAGTAATAGTTATTAGTCATGTCAAAGATGATAACTGGTTATTTATCTACTAAAGACTCAACTGTTAACTTCATTATCTGATATGTCTGATGTAAGCACTGAGTGATTTCTATATAATTTATTTAGTCACTTCCTAATACAAATATACAAACATTCACTTACCTTGTAAGAGATGAGTAAATTTTGTATATTGTATTACTGTAGAAAGTGACCAAATAAGTTATATTGAAATCATTTAGTAATTATATATGACATATTGAATAAGTATAGAGTTAATAGTGGTTGGAATCCCGCGGCCTAGTGGTCTAGACACCCAACCCTCCACGAGTGGGTTTCGGGTTCAAGTTCTAGTAAGTATATTTATCTACAAATATTTGAAAGTATCTGTTATAAGAAGTCCAAGTGAATACAGGTCTGGATTAAAAATTTTTGGAAGGAGATTCATTGTAGAGTAGTTGATACTATGTGTAATGATAGTTGTTACAGAAGGTTCTATTATACAAAGATTGTACGTGTAAATCTGCGATTGGCAAAGTAGCACCAACAACCTCTAAGGCAGTATTGAGAATCTTGTTTGGAAAGATGACTAGGCAGTAACTAGAATTGGAAGTGGTGAGAAATGTGATGAATACAAAGGGACCTGTGGTAAAGAATTGGCCTTACCAGATTTGAAACACCTCTGGCGTATACAGAACTTACTGACCAATAAGAAGTTGAAGCATGGAAGTGTGTACGTGTTGATAAACCTAACAGGCTCTGGTCGTACCCATATGGGAGTTTTTGAATGTTAAGAGGACTTGGGACCACCAATACAAGTATAGCTGGTATAAGTGAATACAGTGGTAACCGGGGGCTACAACTGCCAAGAATCACAATAAATAGAAATGATAATACACCTGTTAAGAACCCCTAGGCCTCATGATCCTATCCAACTATATTGAGTACTAGAAGTATTTGCAAAACATGCCTGGGCAAGCCTTGTCACCATATTGGAAAGTACAGTCGTTCGCACATTACTGAATTTGAAACATTAAGACCTTGGTCTCAAAGTCGCAAGAAACCAGCTAGTTATAACAGCATATAGGCTTGAGATATTTACCCAATTGGGTAGAGGCAGCGGCATGGCTTGAAATACAAACTTCTGGAAGTACGCTAGTTGGGATCAGGCACACCAAACTGGAAGCAATAAGTGCTCACCTGGTACACACCAATTTGGGAGTTAAGATATTAGGTATGTGGGTAAAGTAGCAGACATGTGAATACTAATTGGCAGTTGGGGAAGGATGTATAAAATCCAGATCAATCACATGTGTGGGAGTATTAACGGCTCTGGTGAGTTTTAGCCGTAGATAAATGGTCTTAGACCTAAAGTCCTAGTCCTAGTTCTAATATGTAATATATATGTATTTTGGCACCGCTATATGTCAATTGCTTAAGTATTAATAAAAGTCTAGGGCAGGAGCTACACCCTAATATTAAAAAAAAAAAAAAGTATAGAGTTAATATATACTATAGTTGCTTATAGTAGTTGTAATAAATAATTTAATTATACAGATTCATATTCCAAGATATGGAATTTAAACATGAATCCATGGATGCTCCAAATTTAGAAATCAAGTTTTATATATAAAGATGATCTTTTTTATAACTAGCCAATCAAATTATATTTTTATCTCATAGTGTTTGTCTCATAGTATTTGTTTTATAGTATTTATCTCATTGTGTTTATCATTATAGTGTTTATCTATACTATTATATATTATATATTGATTTTGAAATACAGTATTATACTCTATCAAATTTGCTAATAAAGTAATTAGATAATGTTAAACTCATAAATAAATAGTTTGAATATATAAAAATTAATCTCTATTATTTAAAAATAGTTTTTATATACTATTTGCCAACAGGTTTAAAGTTTATTTATTTATTTTTTTTGATATTAAGATGATCTTTATTGGCTTGAGGAACTTTTTATTAGAGTATAGATGAAGTTTTATAAAGTAATTATAATAATGATACATCAAGCTACACATGCACTTTTGGTGTCTAATTTAAGTGGTCCACCCAACTAAAAGTTTCACACTATCTGCCATACCTGCATTCTAACTATGGGAGTACCCATTTAAACTATCTGGTTCTAACTACCTTTATTAACTCTCTAATTCGAAAAGTTTCTTTACTAAACTAAGTAGATATTGGTGTTACTTGCATTAGATTTTGCACCCTACTTTAAAATACTTTACTATTCTCAAGATAAACCTAACAAAGCAGTACATGTTCCACACATGCATATTCTTATAACTTTTTCCTAATTAGTATATATTAATTTGCCGTTCTATATTTGTATCCCATGTTACTTTTTAGATGCTACTATTCTACAAACATTTCTTAAACACCAATCTGCATCCATTATATACTCCTTGCCCTTGTTCTGGTTCCAGTACCTGCATTTAAACTGTTTTCTTATTCAGATTCTTTATTAGTCCCTCTTTTACTTCTAGCCAACAACTCAAAAGAGTCAGTCTGCCCAGGCTTTAGGTGCCTGAAGGATGCTCTCCCCTTGGTCCATACTTTCGGAGCATATGTCTTTTTTCTCTGGTAACAGATTTAGAGTTTATTACTTACTTGTACTATATATATATGTAATTATTAATAAAAGTACTTTCGAGACTATTAAAGATTTAAAAAAAAAATCTTTTTTTAAAAATTATAAAGCTAAAAATCATTTTTTCTACCATTAATCTACCTAATTTTGTATAATACTAAAAAACTAAAATTATGTACAGTATGTAACTAATACTTTTGCTAAAATTTTGTAATTTTTGCAATTTGATTGGTTAAAATTTTTATTAATTAGAAATTTTTAAAAATTAACCAATAGCAAGAGACCAAAATACTTGTCCTGATTTTTCAAAAACCGCTAAGTTGTAGTAAATTAATATAGCTACAGTTAGGTGGCCTCCTTTTCTTTGTAACTTTTCTACATCATGAGCTATTGGCTTTTGAAATTATTTTAGCCTTTAAGTGCACTGTAGTTACGTGAACGCGTGATGCACGTGATCGAATTTTATTGGACGATCGCGGGGTCGCCACGGCGACGGCTCGTTTAAAAAAAACTATATTTAGAAAAAATGCATTCAAACTACATTTGGAAAAATCGTATCAAAATAAGAGACTATATTCAAAAAAAACTGCATCTTGAACTAAAAAAATTTTAATAAGGATAGCACACAAAACTAACTGTATTTATAACAAAAAAAAAAGTGTCACCTAAATTCGAGTATAAACCATTTGACTTAAGGCACAGTTACAATATCCAAATAAATACCCAAATTTGGAATAAATGATAAAATCGTGCTTTAATCTGATATCAAAAAATAAAGTCTCGTAAAGAATTTCTTATTATCAATTTGGTCAACATGAACTTGAAACAAAAGGATAAACTAATATACACTTAATGTATATAAGCAACGTTACTAGAGTTATTCATTTAAATGGCTGCGGAAGAAAGTAAATGCTAACATCAATAGCGAAAAAAAATGTAATATCAAAATCAAGAAACTAAAAACTTTCAAAATCATCTATTAAGATAAAAAAAAAACACATGTTACGATCTGAATAGAGAAACCTGAGTACATTAATCCATTATTATTAAAAAAGGATTAAACAATACATATTGATTGGTAATAGGAGAAAATTACCAATTGATAAAAAGATAAAGGTAAAGAGCGTGTAACATCGAACAAAACGATGGGTAAGCTGGTAATTGCACCGATACAAGTCAAAAAAAAACAAAAAAGACTAATAATATACCTCTGCAACCTCATGCTTATTCACAGTTCAATTTCACAACAAAAAATACAATTAAAATTCATCACAAATAGTGAGTCATGTTGATATAGACAAATAAAATAACTTATCACACCTTGCTTTATATTGATAGATGAGAATAATAATCTAATTACAACAACCACTAGTAAATCTAGATTTGCTTTCTATATTAATTTTGCCGTCACTTGGAACTTTTGGTTGCTCAGGTGTATGTGTGTCAATCAATCTCTTCTTGATGTCCCTGTAGTTTAATTATACAATTTGAGAGATAAGTGTTAATATGAAGTAATATACAATAACTCGAGTTAGTAAACATGGTAAACATAAATCTTAACCTGGCCAAAGTAAAGAATGCCTCTTCCACGTTAATGTTAGCTTTGGCACTAGTTTCTAAAAACTTGATTTTAAATTCGTCGGCGAGTGCCTGACCTTGTTCCTTAGTAATTGCCTAAAAGATTGCAATGTATATAAAATTCAGATAATTTCTCAGGAGACTTTAAGAATCATCAAAATTTATTTTTACCTTTTTCTCAACCCAGTCACATTTATTTCCAATGAGAATTTTATTAACGCCTTCGCTAGCATGCTGTTCTATGTTGGAAAACCAATTTCTTATATCTGTTTAATCGTAAGAAAATTTGGTATGAATAAATAGATATGTAATTCTATTACAATCGTTGAGAACCTTTTTTTTTTTAAAAAAAAATTTTTTTAAAGAAAAAAAGAGTACTTACTATTAAAAGACCGTTCATCGGTGACATCATAAACCAAAAGTATGCCCATAGCTCCACGGTAATAGGCTTTAGGGATATAAAATAATATAGTATAAATAAAAAATTCTAAAGGCATAAAATAAACGAAATTCGAGGAGAGTTGTTTTATTCACCAGTAGTGATAGTACGGAAACGTTCTTGACCAGCGGTATCCCAAATCTGGAGTTTGATTCGTTTACCGTCCAATTCGATCGTTCTGATTTTAAAGTCGATTCCAATAGTGGTGATAAAAGAAGGGGTAAACGAGTCATCAGAAAAGCGAAGCAACAAGCAACTTTTACCAACGCCTATAAAAACAACGAAAGAACTTTTAGAAAGAAATAAAGCACAGAAGTAATAACAGCATAAACGAAGAAACATAAGCTCGATAGGGTTGCATTCACGAGAGATGGAAGAGTAGACGACAGTTCTTTGCTAATTAAGTATGCACTTATAATACAACCCACCCTTTGATAATTTCGACAGTTCACTAACCTGAGTCACCAATTAACAAAAGCTTTATAAGATAATCATAGGCGGCACTCTTGCTTTGAGCCATTTTTTCGTGGGTTTTCAAAGGGAAAAATAAAATAAGGTTATAGCTAAGGGTTGCTTTAGTTCAGTTCGCCACAATGATAGAAAACGCCAAGTTAGGCAAAGTGACTAAATATACATAACGATAACAGGAACTTGGCTTCCACGTGATTTTTAGGTTTCATAAAAATCATGAATTTAAAATATTTCAAATTAATATTGATTTATTTGAAATAGAAGTTACACGAGAAGCCACGATAACTTCACTATACAGCTATACATGACGATAAGAACAAATATAACAATATTTACCCATCTGAATTAATATCACTTTATAAATATAAGAAACATATTTAATAACGATAAGAACGTTTAAGATATTGTACTAGGACTAAAGCAACTTTGATAATCATTTATATAAACTGAAATTGGCTTTTTATTCCAGCAGGTCCGGAAATAAATTTTAGACTGAAATTCACTCCTGCCATCAGATTATTAAGGCTGACACTCAACTGATTTATACATTAGTCGACTTCCTTGGATAAAAATAATTTTCTTTTTTTTGTGGAGTTTAATAAGGGTTGTGACTACGGAGACTAGCTAGTTAATTGAGCAAATATTTGTCCCCGTGCAAACACATTTCGTGTTTGGAAACGCCTATGCCGGTTTTAATTATTCCTTAAGTTGATATTATTCTTTAGATTTAGCAATTTAAGAAATAAAATTGGAAATCTGAAAAAAAAAAATTATAAATTTGATTAATAGCAAATTAGATTAGTTAATATTTATTCGTCACGGCTGACGCTAATAATACGTATATCTCTTGGTTAGTCTGTTAATTTCATTGGCTGGTTTCAGTTTTAGCCGTGACAATATTTTTATGTGATCATGTTTACATAAGAATAAATTAAAAATTCAAAGGTAAAAAAAAAATCATTTGTTTTACAAATATTGTATTAATTGTACTGTACGTATACTGTATATTAATATATGTATATATGCATATATATATATATATATCTGATATCTGCTTACAGTATACGGTATGTGAAACTGGTTAGAAATATTTTTATTTACTATACAATATATCTTTTATTTTATTTTATTTATATATTACTGTTATTATATATATACTGTATTATATCCAAAATATATAGAGAAAAGGACTTTAAAATTCTTGATTTACTAGTTTTTATTAATAAAACTTTAACCAATAATATCTCGTAATCTAGAAATCATATTTTGATGATTAATGATTTTTGATATTATTTGAATATTATTGAGACAATTTGAATAGTACCAAAATCATTAAAATACGATTACTAGATTACGAGATATTATTAAAGTTTTATTGTACTAGTAAGAACTAGTAAATTAGAGTCAGGTATTCAAGAATTAAAATTTTTCTCTGTAGGCAAATAATTTTTTTTAACAAATATATATTAGCTGTATAGCTGTAATGCAAAATATTTAATTAAATATATAACGTTTTTAATCATTAATCCGTTGATTAGAAATGTATTAATAGCATAACAGTATAAATTATTAATTTCGATTAGTTAAAAATAAAAGTATATAAAAAAGAATATTTTTATTCATTAGTACGTTTATATTTTTATTAAAATTTTATTCTAATAAAATAAAAACTTTTATTTAATTAATATACAGTATATGAGTGACGAAAAGGGAAAACCTGTAAATCATTATAATAAGTGAAATGATACGTATACTAATTTGCTTATACGTACAGTATACGTAGTGATAAAGGTTTTTGATAATAAAAATTTTATTTATAACGCCTATGTTATAAAACATCCATAATTTTTAGTATTTACCACTATATAGTTGGTGTATATAACATGGCGTTATAAATATATATAACTTAATACTTTAATACATACAGTATTATACTGTAATGTAACTGTAAATACAGTACTTTGCACTATATAAAAACTTTTTAATTTTTAATTCTGCCGTAAGATTTTAACAATAATTTTTACTAATAAAACTACGTAATTATTATCACTATATATACGTATAGTAGTTGAAATTTTATGTTGCAAATAAACGCTCGCAGTGTTGGCAATTTTTGTGTCAACCTTTTTTTTTGGCCTTGTTTAGCCACCAGCCAATGACCAAACTTTAGAAGTTTAATATTAAACCAATCAAATTACTGACACTACGTATATAAATATTTGGCCACTACGATCAAATAATTTTACTTTTAATTTTGGTCATTGGCCAGCCAAATGGAAGATGCCAACACGGATTTAAGGTGTCTCGCCGATAACCTAGAGTTTAGATCACAGAGCTGTCTTAGTTGTAATATAAAACTTACTGTATGTTCATTGGCACAAGTTTTTACGTAATAATAATAATATTTTGATTACGTCAAAGTTTCTGATGTCGATACGATATTAATCTCCGTTTACTATATCTCATAGCGGAGATGGGTAAAGTGGCGGATCAACTTATATTAAAGTTTACACACGATTTATCAATTGGAAATTAATGATTCTTATACTATTCGATTCGCTCACCAAGACAACCGAATGGTGCACAAATACCCTTTAACAGGAAGCAAGTAATACTGCGGCTAATTGTCATAATGCATAAATCGATATGATTGTTGCTTCGTCGATCTGTCGATCCGCCACTTACCGTTGAAATTAATAAAAAGTTGCTTTTCTTTTTTATTTTAGAATTTCAATAGATGAAAAATATGTATTGAAACAAAATTTGTATTTAATAAAGTTTTACCTTATATATAGGTCATTTAAACTCCCAACATAGGATGTTTATAGAACTTCGTAACACATAACTAGCACATATCAATATAGAAAATCAGACGTCACTTTGGCGGATGACGCAGTATGTACAGAAGTACGTCGTATATCTTGCACTGTCAAAAATTGCCGGTAATAAGGCTTTATATGGCTTAAGAAAGACAAAGCTTCAGAATTTTTTTTAAAAAAATGGAGAGTTTCAAGATTATCGCAAAAGAGGAAATGAGTTGATTATATATGTTTTAGCTACTATGAATTCTTTTCCTTCCACTCAATCAATCTTATTTTCGCATACATATCAATAAAGTATTAGGTCAGTCATATTTTCGATATCCATATACAGAGTCAGGATCTCAATTGCCAATTTCGAGATTCCGTTTGATAATCTCTAACCGATGTATACTGCATATTATCTAAAATAAATACATAAATGACACATACTTCTAAATTATCGGATTTTGACCTTGAATACTGTATACAACTATGGATAAGTGAGACCAAATTTTTTTGACATCTAGTATTGAACTCAAATAATTTTGATATGTTATTAGGGCGATTCAAAATCAATCGAATCCAATAACTTGAGTAATTTGACCTTAGAAATTTAAAAATGGCGTACTTGTCTAGTAACAGTACAATATTCAGGATCTTGATCATCTCGATCAGTATATTGACTATCGCTATCGGTATCTTGGAATCATGAATATTATCAGGTTAAATCTTGAACCGTTGTCGGAACCCTCGTCTTTGTTATTTAATTATCCCAAAGTGTTACAAATAAAAAATACCTGTAACGATAATTTAGAAGACCCGTAAATTTTGTGGCACAGTTAATTTATAAAATTTGTTGATAAACAGGTTTTCTTATTTGTTTGTTAGTGCTAAAGTTAATCCTTATCGTTATTGTCCGAAGCGTAGCGAGGACTTTTATGTCTACTGCAAACCATGCAATGTCCGTTGACAGCACCCAATCAATTTTTCATATTAGGTTACACTGCATATTTCTGCAAAACAACAAAACACGTGATGCCCAATCAGATTGTTGCTTCGGACATCTATCAGCTCCTGATACCTAGTACGTAATTAATAAATATGTTAAGTAAAAAATAATTAAAAATCATTTCACTCTTTTATTCGCAATTCCTTTATATATATATTTCCAATACTGGCAATAATAAATAATATGATTGAAATTAATAATAGTTCATAAAATTTGATCCGTGATATTGCGGGATTAAATATATTATTTGATTGGTCCATTGCATCCTTGTCCCCGAAATTCCTGGTCGGAATGCATCGGCGTTAGATTAGGATTAGCTATACTGGTTAGCAGGAGCTATGAACAAACAAATAATTAAAATTCATACCCTTCATGAATGGAATATTCGTTTCTGTGTTTAACCACTTTTCAAGCTTGCTTTCAGCTAGTCCTTTAATTGGGCCACTGCACATAACTGCATATTCAGGCCTTCTACATTTGTCACTGTTTTTTGTTTTTTTCTAAAAAAAAAAATGAAAAATAATAATAAAATTAAATTTAAAGTAAATCAAATGGTGTATTAATATCTCAATAGAACTGCTTTTGCAAAAAAAAAAATTACTCAGTAGAAAGAAAAAAAATAATGCAACAATCTACTTATTTTTCTAGGAATTCATATTAAGAAAACAAAAAGAAATCTCCTACAAGAAAAAGATTACACTCTTTGTAAAAATCTTGACTATTATAAAATACTGTATATAATCAACTTCTTTTTCAGAATCAATAGGCTTTACAAACAATAATTTTTGCCCCAAGAAGAAAGCATAACATTCCTTGAAAGAAAGTAACAATTCACAAGAGAAAGGTAACATCTTACAAAGAGAAGATAACATCTCATGAAGAGAAGGTAAACATCTTATGAAGAGAAGGTAATATCTTATAAAGAGAAGACAACACTTTCACTTGCAAAAGTTTTGACTATTATAAGATATTGTACATAATTAACTCCTTTTTCAAAATCAATAGGCTTTACAAACAAGAATTTTTGCCCCAAGAAGAAAGCATAACATCTCTTGAAAGAAGGTAACAATTCACAAAGGAAAGATAATATTTTATGAAGAGAAGATAATATCTTACAAAGAGAAGGTAAACATCTTATAAAAAGAAGATAGCATCTTATAAAGAGAAGACAACACTCTTGCAAAAATCTTGACTATTATAAGATACTATGCATAATCGACTTCTCTTTCAGAATTGATA